TATATATATATATATATATATCGAATTGGCGTTTTGCTAAATGTCCAATAATACTCCATATGAACAGTACAATAGATAATAGCATTTTATTTAGATTTTATACATCGGATGGCAGCCAACAATGTACCAGAATTAATAATTATTTCATAATTCCAAATTTGATGCTAATTAATGAAGTTATTTTGCAATTATCCTAAAACAATAGTACATTACTTCCATACTGATTTCGCATACATGACAGAAAATATATTAAAAGCATAAGGTACGATAACATATAAAGTTTAATGAAATAACATCTTTTAAGATCCTTATTCGGTGATTAAAAATCAAGAAATAAAAAAGAGATAACATTATTAGCGTCGTTTGACATAGTACTAAGTTAACAATAATCGAAGAAGTTTATATATTAATATTCCATAAATCCAGGTCCCGTACCTTTGCTTGCTATTGTCTTTCTTTAACATCGATTTTCGATTGCGACATAGAATATGTAAAAATGCGGTTCAAATAATGAACAAATCGACAAATATTCATTGTGTCGGTATACTCTTATACAAAAAAAAGATACCGCCACTTCCATAAACAACTCTTGGATAATGAAATAGTTTTCTCTCTCTTTCTTTCTCGTAATGGACAATCAATAGTATGGATTATTTACATGCCTAACTCGTAGTCACTTTGAGTAATACGGGTGATGAAGCATGGTTGTTAAAGTACAGACCTGCGCCCTGAAAGCTATTAGATCTTGATACAAGCGTCGGATTCTGATTAATTCCGGTCATACCATTGTCGGCTTCGGAATCACTATACTCATCATCTTGCTTGCCCCGCAATACATACTTGAATGATTCGTATCTATCGTGTAAATCAGAAACATGTTATGCGACACGATATAAAAAGAAACGATGAGTATGATATAATCACAAAAAAGTAATATAAAAAGAAATATAAAGTCAATTGACTTACATCACCCAACAGATAGCGGTGGCTGGTGCTTGGAATAAGACACGTGCACGTAATCCACGGAAGTATCCCTGTATTCCGCCAAACCTGTAAACTTGCTTAAATGCATCTATCATGCCTTGAGCGTGCACACCATCCTGCTGTGTGTTCAACACTGTTTTGCAAACATCCAGAGGGGTTGTCACGGCAGCCGCAATTGCACCTGCTGCTGCACCTGGTGTTTCAGTAAAAAGACAAAGACGATTAAAACTGTATTAAACTATATTTGTTCGCATCAAAATACGCTTATTTTACTCAAGATTTAATACTTCAGAATAATAATAAATTGATTTGATTTTTTGCAACATAATAGTTTTTACAACATAACATTATATCTTTTTCAATAGTATCAGAAACCTACAGTAGAAAATCAATATTATTGATAATTAAATGACTCACCCGATCCAATATGTGCTATTGGATTGTAAACGTGTTCTGGATTCGTAATGGATTGTACAAATTCATAAGAAATAAAATGAATACTCTGAAAAGGCACATTCATAGCCAATTGAGTTGTGTAACTCCTGTAGAATGCAAATATCCCTTCTTTCTGGTACACGTGTTGTATACAATTCAATACATTCCTATAAGGGGAATTATACATCTGCAATCGTTGTTTAACCACTGTAAAAAGATAATATTGTATATAAATTTCTACATCTACTGTTTTCTAAAATTAATTTTCAAAGATAATCTCGATATATTCTTTACTATAC